CTGAAGTGAAATTCCTCTGTGTCTATTCCTGAAGCATATGTTTATTTATTTGAAAGTCAAAGTTACAGAGAGAAAAAGAGAATTTATTTTAAAAAGGCTAATTTTATTTTTATTCAAAAGTAGGTATAAAGAAAGGAGGCAAGACAAATACAAAGTCTTCATTCCATTGATTTACTCCACAACAAGCCTCAGTGGCTGAAGCTGAGCTGATCTGAAGCCAGTAGCCTGGAATTCGGAGCCTCTTCTTGGTCCCCCACATGGTTGCAGGGTTCCAAGGCTATGGTCTATCTAAGACTGCTTTCCCAGACCACTGTCAAGGATTTGGAAGGGAAGCGGGGCTGCGGGGATTAGTATCCTGGTGTTTGCAAGGTGAGAACTTTAGACACTAGTCTACTATGCTAGACCAAAGAGAGAGAAAGAGCTTTTTTGGAGGTTTCCCACATAGGTGCCAGGACCCAATCACTTGGGCCATTCTCTGATGCTTTCTCAGGCTCATTAGCTGGGTTGGAAGTGGAGTCGGCAAGACATGATCTGGTGCCCATATGGTATGCTGGCATTGCAGGTGGCAAATAACCTGCTGTGCAACAGCCTTGGTTTTTCTTTTTTTTTGTGTGTGTGTGTGTCATTAATGATCAGTATGACCTTAATGACTTTTCCCCTCTGCTGTATTTTGCACTCAGTGGTGAAAGATATACATATTTGTTTAACTTATAACTTGGTATATGTTTGGGTACTGCATGTATGAAAAGCTGTTCTATGGATTGGCAGCTGTCATGCTGGTAGAGGGTACTGAGTGAACGGCTTCCAAGTCACAAACGAAGTATGTTAGATTTTAGAAGAGCAGGCAATGGCCACTTCTAACATATATTTTATAGAATACTCTGATTCTTTTCAATGTCCTAACAACTGACTGTTCATTAGTTTAATAATGTAGAATTTTGAGTAATCTTTGCAGCAAGTAATAATTTACTTCAGTGGTTCATGGTCATGACTGCACACTGCAATCTCTTGGATGTTTATCTTAAATTCCCAGTATCTGGAATGTGGCCCAGTGCAATGAAACCACAATTTTTAACAGCAGTGAATTGATCATGTAAAGTTCATAATGTTGTTGGTAAGATTAAAAATTAATGGGCACAAGTGAACTGAATCCTTTGCCATCTAATTGATTGCAAAAAGAAGCCTAGCATATGTTTTTATCATCTTGCCAAAGTTGCCATCAGCATCTAATTGTGAGGAATCTTAGGACAACTCTAGATTGAGTAACAGTTCTCAGACTCTCAGTCTATGCTTTTTTTTTTTTAAGATTTATTTTAATTTTTATTGGAAATGCGAATATACAGAGAGTAGAGACAGAGAGGAAGATCTTCCATCCGATGAGTCACTCCCCAAGTGAGCGCAACGGCCGATGCTATGCCAATCCCAAGCCAGGAGCCTCTTCCAGGCCTCCCATGCGGGTGCAGGGTCCCAAAGCCTTGGGCCATCCTCGACTGCTTTCCCGGGCCACAGGCAGGGAGCTGGAAGGGAAGAGGGGCCGCCGGGATTAGAACCGGCGCCCATTTGGGATCCCAGGCGTGCAAGGCGAGGACCTTAAACACTGCGCCACCACGCTGGGCCCCAGTCTATGCTTTTCAAAGACAACAAGCTCAGAGTTATGCTGAAAAGTAAAATGGGGGATCAAGATGGTGGAATAGGGTAAGGACAAGTTTAAACAGACAGAGAAACAATTAATCAGGATGAAGCAGAGAGGACACATTCCAGGAAATAGGAGAGGACAGAACAATAGCAGAGGGATACCGGGAGACTGACAGACAGAAGAAAGCAATGAAAACAATGGTGTGGTGTTGCAGTGACTTATACTCCAGGTGCATTCAGCTAACAGCGTTCTGAACTCCACCAGCAGCTGGAACTCCACCAGCAACCAGGTGGGAATGGACTTTCACTTGGATCTTGGGCGGTGAACCCAGACAAAGAACTGTTTGTCCTGCTGGTCTGTTTGATTTGACCAGGAGTAGAGACAGAGCGCCAGATCCCAGAAGGACTGTGCGAAAACATGGTGGATTTCACAGCCCAGTCAGCGCACTAGAGCCGAATTGGGCACCATTCTGGGTAAGGAGGCAAAGGCAAGGGAAAGGACTGTGCATACACTGAGCTCAGAGTGAATTTATTTCTGACTCAGTGAACTGCATCAACGTGGCATTCTACAGGTTCCAACCAAGACAGGTCTAGGTAGCCCTCAGATCTGACAGCCAGTAGATCAAGAACTCTAGTAGTGGCACATCAGGCGCCATTTTGTACAGTGTGGCAAAAGCTTTATGATGCAGGGGACAATAGTGAGCTGCGCATGTGCTGAACTCATGAGAACTCACTGAGTTTATGGGATTGCATTGGTCCCACAGGAAAATGATACAGATTGTGGCATCATACTGGTCAAAATAGGTCTGTGTGGCACCCAGACCTAAAGGCCAACAAGTTTTGGCAAGATCAGCACCATCAACAACCTAGCTATATAGGACACCTGCTGTGTCCTTAATCCTGGGACCTGATCCAAACGGAAGAGGGAGAAAGCTTGTAGAGACAACATTGCAACCCCAGCATGCTATTACAGGAGGTGGAGAGTTGTGAGCCAGGAGCTGAAGCTACAGAGACCATGGTGGAAATCTAACATAAGAATCCAGACCTGGAACTTGCTGGAGGGAGTGGCACAATTGGCTGCAAGCAAAAACCTGTGTACCAATGGCAATAATAAAAATCGAACTGTAGACCTGTGGGTGACAGAGCTTAGAAATCCGCCCCAAGGAGAAGAATCTGATAACTAGAAGTACTGTTGTGGGACCGAGATCACACCAGACATGTCTCAGGTTTATTAAGGAGCCTTTATTAAGCAAGCTTGGTGACAATAGAGTATACTAAAAATAGGAAATCACAAGTCTATAGTATTCAAGAATTGCACTCCCAAATTTCTTTTGTTTCTGGAAAAGCGTTTGCTTCTTTTTAAAAATTAATATGGGAACTATACTAATTGTTCTTCTTCTTGTACTATTCTTGTTTTGTCCCAGTCTTCATCCAATACCTAAGTGAAATACTTCAAACCACACACAGAGAACTTTGCACCCTTCAATTTGATTATAACAGAGGGGGAAATGAGGAGGGCGAAGCAGTTGGGTCAGATGGCATGCATTTTGTGATGAGTCCTGGTCTTCAGTTAGCAAGTCTATGAAAAGTTTCTGGCTGCATGGCAAGGCCCGGCAGAATGTCTCTAATCACCTCATTGCTGCCTCAGCCCATTGTATGGACACTTGATCACCTCTCTAACATTTCATGGAATTGTCTTGAGGATGTTGCTGTTGCTGTTAGCAACTTAATGCAATGACACACAGCTGAAAGTGTACAATAGTAGAATTGAGCCCACAACGTCCCCAAACATCCTGTTATGTGCCCACTTTTGTCCTAGAGCTTGCCATGATATAAGTAATATTTTCCTTAAGCAATGGCTTGATAATATCTTGGAGCAGATGGCAATTGTTTACCATGCAGTCTTGAACTGTTAGAACACATGAATTGATGTACTTTGCTTTCTTACCATGGAAATTAGAAAGTATATGGGACATCTTCTAAAGGGAGACAAATGTGAACCCCCAAAGAAAAATGGTTTAAAACTTCTACTTTATATTGGCACTTATATTTAGGGAAAGAAAACAGTTTATAAAGATAAAAAGAAGTTTCTTGTAAAGGCCCTCTGTTCATAGAAAGGCTGAGTTGTCCTGATCCTTTTTCACTGCCCTTTAACAAAACAAAAGCAATTGAATCAGTACTAGGTAAAGGAAATGGTAATTAGTATATGACTGATTGTAAGATTTAAGAAGGAATCTATAATCTATGGCTTTAGAAACTCCTTTCACCTATGAGCTTTCTTTTCAATTGTGTATTCTTAATATTTTAAGTGATGTTAGTTTAGGTTTAGTGAAAATTGATTTTGGATATAAGTAAACCACTTGTCACTATGTAACCGCATGTGCTGCCAACTGTGGAGTTCCTGGCTTCAGCTGGGTGACTGCAGGTTTGAATGAGTAATGGTTTGCTGAAAATGTTTTCTTTGAAGTAAAATAATAATAATATTTTTTAGAATTGTTTTTGTAACCATTCTTTTAACCATGAAGTAAAAATGAAACAATTGGATGTTGTGCAAAAGCTTATGATGATTTCTGTATAAATAAAGAAGGCAGCTTTTTTGAGTTGTCCATTATGAGCATCATGCCATAGTGGTCCACACATCCCTTTTCTTCTCTTCTTGACAGTCCACACATCCTTTGCGAGCTCTCAGGTCATCTGGAATTGGTCTCTAGCAGTCCTATATGATTCTATGCTTCCCCTAAAATAAAGGGTCCTATCTGCATTCAAGGTGTTTCACGGTGGAAGGTGTGAGTATTTCATTGTTAAGCTGTTCTGTCATTGAAGTTGTAGAAGTATGAGTTATTTCACCTGTCATGCTAGGTACTCTGTTAGTATAGCAAACTTAAAATTCGTAGTCTTGCCCAATTTCAAGGAAAATATTCTTGTATTTTAGAAAGTGTTATAGGAACAACAAATTCTTTATAAACAAATTTTTGGAATACTTGGATTCCCCTTAGTGTTATTAGCTCCCACCTGACATCAATGTAATAAAAAATAAATTGAGCAGTTTTTCAACTTGTTATTTCATTATATCAGTTCTTGATTCTCACGGTTCTTGAAATCACTGGGTATGGCTGGTTACAAAGGCCACAGAAGAATATTTGTGTCCGAACACACTGAATTAACCAGAACTTCTGAGTTGGAAGGGACTAAGGGTGCAGTGAAAAACTAAACATTAGGAAATAACATCTTGTTTTCATCTTTATCAATGGACCAAAGTTCACTCAAAGGAGAGTTGAAGTGCATCTAGCCCACCTGCTGGAGTACAGGTCTAGCACACGTGATGAGCAGGGAGTTCTATAACAGTTCTTGTCTAGTTCCCTCTTGTCCTAATTCCCTCTTGTCTCGGGAAGAAGAGGAGGCTCCATGGATCCCACGGTGGTGCTGGTGCTTTGTCTCTCCTGCTTGCTTCTCTTTTCACTCTGGAAACAGAGCCATGGGCGAGGGAACCTACCTCCTGGTCCCACTCCTCTTCCAGTTCTTGGCAACATCCTACAGTTGGATTTTAAGGATATTAGCAAATCCCTAACCAAAGTAAGTATGCATTATGATGTTCCAGTGTTTTGTAAAGGATAAGCAATCTACCCCAGGGTTCAAAAATTGTGTATGGTTGGAAGCTAATTACTAAAGTATTTTATTTCAAGGAAGCAATTCCTTGGGATTCAACATTTGATGTTGTGTTCTCAGAAATAGTTGGAAGAAAGTAATGGATTTGGTTGGTATAGAAGCTTTAAGGCAGTAGTGTGGAGTCAAAGCTATAAAATCCAGTGTTTGTTTGTTTGTTTCACACTCTTTTCACTCAGTGGCTTAGTTTCCTTAACGTCGGTGGCAACAGAGTGTTTTGTGATTGCTGATTTTAGTGAAAAATCATCTAGTGCTTATTTCTTGTATTTGCTTTGATAACCAAGAGAGTTAAACTTCAGGGAAGCAAATTGTCACTGCTGTCCAGGAGTACTCTATGGTTCTTCAATACAAGTGAATAAAAGAGAGAGTGAGGTAGGGTCTTCTGGGTGTTAATGGAATGCATTGGGACCTGTGCAAAGCCACCATCTGTGACAGAGAGCGCACAGTAGGGGTCAAATCATCTTTATATCAGGTCTGTGTGTTCTTGCTGTGCCTCAGTGGTGCCCACTCTCTGTATGCTGGTTACTCACATAGAGCTTTACTTGGCTGGGCTTTTGAGTTCCTGGGTGACTGTGAACCTACTATTCCTTTCTGCTGAGTCAGCTTCCCATGGTAGGTGGTTTGTAGGTGATCCAATTATTGTCATATTGCAGCTGGGTGGAAGGTCCAATCTTTACTGTGAGCCCTGAAATTTTCAAGCATCAGTGTTGCTGAAGCATAGTTTAAATATGGGCCTTCTATTTATTCCAGAATGCTGATGTTGTAATTGACAGAACAGGATGATTGACAGGAAGGTGTTCATACAAGCTCAGTGATGCACATAATGTAAACCAAGTGAGAACTTTTCTTTCCTCCCTCAGCTGTCTAAAGTCTATGGCCCTGTGTTCACTGTGTATTTGGGCATGAAGCCCACTGTGGTGATGCACGGTTATGAAGCAGTGAAGGAAGCACTAATTGATCTTGGAGAAGAGTTTTCTGGAAGAAAGGGCTTGCCAGTGAATGACAAAGTTAACAAAGGATTGGGTTAGTGTTCACATCTATGTGTTCCCGTGTGTTTACATGTGCTCACATGTTGGCGTGTTTATTTTTGTCCATATTTGCTTACATGTTGTCACATGAGTGTATGTTCACATGTATGCTTCTGTGTTACGTGTTTATTTACATGCACATGGTAGCATGTGTGGTAATGTGTGTGTGAGTGCATGTGTGTTGGTGGTAAAAATGTTGATTGTTAAGGTTGGTACAGAAGTTAGGGGATCCTCCTGTAGAGCTTTTAAGTGCCACCCTCCTCTTCCTCTTCTTGGCTCCTCCTTTACTTTCCACTTCTCCTTCTCTCAGGAGTTATTTTCAGCAATGGGAAGACATGGAAGGACACCCGGCGCTTCTCGCTCATGACCTTGCGGAATTTTGGGATGGGGAAGAGGAGCATAGAGGAGCGAGTTCAGGAGGAGGCCCGCTGCCTTGTGGAGGAGCTGAGGAAAACCAATGGTGAGTGGCCTATTATTTGCTTTTTTTCTTATATTAAAATCACACTTATTTTAATTTTTGATGATGCTCCCATAATTGAGAAAGGTGTATGTCCATATGCACCATTGATGGGGGAGGTCGAGGAATGGAGGAAGCTGGATGAGACAATTGCTTCCAATTTTTTTTCCCAACTGTACTGAGAGTAGAAAAGGAAAGATGGAGAGAGGGCTGCTCCTAGCTGCTAGCTGCCTAAACACATGAGTGCTGAGATGGGGACTGCCACGTGATGTCATCCTAGGATCTGGTGGCTGACCCTTTAAGTGTCCTTAAGAAACATCTTCCCTGTCTAGTGATAGCCTTGGATGGACTCATTGCAAGGATAGTGAGTGATTGCATTCTTTGTCCTGCTTTCATCTCCCTGGAGGAGTGGGGACTGTTTGAAGCAGAGTCCAGGGAGCTTTTGTGCATATTTCGCTGTTGTGCTTCACGTATTGATCATTATACAATTTTGGGAATAAAAGCCTCATCAGACTATTTTCTGTTCTTACTTTGATTTGGCACCATCATTTTTCAAAGAGAAAATAATACTTTTATTCCTGTACATAATTGTGGAACAATATTCTAGAACACATCACCAGGTGCATGATGGGAATGACTTGATTACACTATGATGGAGCATGAAAAGGCGTCAGATACCATCACTAATTGGTCTGCACTGGTAGTATGAACCTCCCATCATGACCTAAGAGATTTTTCAATGTTTATGCTTCTATGGCTATGATTTTCACTGCCTAGTAATCTCTTAAAGCACTCAATATCTATATGTTCTTTAATACCTTATCCAACTGTCATTTAGTTCCATATCATTTCATTATATTCTCTTGATTCATTTCATGTTTAATTATATCTAATATGTTAATTTTTACATGTGATGCTTATTGATGTATTGGCTATAACATTTTCATTCTCATGTTCACCAAGATACAAAACATGAAGCAAAATAGAAAACTTTCTTTTATCTTGTTGTGTATGTAAAATGATGGAATTGACCTCAGTGATGGTCATATTGAAAATTCAGGTGACACACGATTCTGTTGATGGCTATGTAGCACAATTATCTGGAATTCCACAGGAGCACAGACTTAGTGCAACGAAAAGGTGTACAGCCTGGTTAGTGGTGATGGGCATTGTTTCCTAGTGAGGAAGTACATTTCCTCCCACCTCAAATGCTCTAAACAGGTCATTCCTCAATTCACATGTGGTGTTTGCCATGCCACTTTGGAAGTTGTCTAACTTCATTGTAATTTGAGGCAAACAGGTCTTGGTCAATTTTTATTTGGGCTGTTTTCCCTGGCTTCCATGAATTCTAGCTGTCCTTGTTTGTTTCATCAAACCCATGAATTGTGTCAACCCTTTCTCTTCTTCGTGTTCCTCACTCTGCAGTTTCTACACCCATTTTCCTTAATTATTGAATATGTGCAAAAATCCCTCACCATTTCTTCCTTATTGACTGTTCTGTTTCAGGGTAGATATAATTGCACACTGATAACTCGAGTTATTAGGTGTTTCAAGGGTGGCCTCTAAGGTTTTCTGTTTGGCCTCCAAATAACATTGACTTGGGGTCAGAGTCCTGCACACAGAGGCTGTGATGTTTCCTCTGGCATTGGTGTTCCTGAAGCTGGAAGACTGTCATTCAATAAGGGATGAGGTCAATAGTGCTTAAAAATGTTTTCCCTTCAGCCTCACCGTGTGACCCCACCTTTATCCTGGGTGCTGCTCCGTGCAATGTGATCTGCTCCGTGATTTTCCAGAACCGTTTTGAGTATAAAGACCAGAAATTTCTTAACTTGATGGGAAAATTCAATGAAAACTTCAGGCTTTTTAATTCCAAGATTGTACAGGTGAGATGATGTTCCTCTCTTGCTGATGAAACATTTCCTCTCTTCACTGACAAGCTCAGAATTGTACATTGCAGTTCTCCACTTTTCAACATTTGGTTTGCAACATGTTTTATAGTAGTTTGTGAGGAAGTTAAATTCTGTGTACGGGTGTTTCTTTTTCAGTTTAAGCAGTGACTCTTCTTTTCGTGTTTTTCTTTTAATTAAGTATTTGCATAGTGAGTTTTTCTAGACTGTTAAAATTTTGTATCTGTTGCTCTGCATGTTCTACATCTTTGATGTTCCCTTACCTTGTTTGCGGTTGGCATTGACAGAGATGAAACTTTAAGTACAAGTGCAAAATGAGAAACAGAATATACTCATTACATATATACAATGAGAAAGAGAGCAGGTATGAAGTGACACACACACACACATATATATAGAGAGAAATAGTGCACATATATATATATATATATATATGTAGAGTGAGAAATGGAGAGAGAGAGAGAGAGAAATAGACAGAAATGAATAAAGGAAGGAAGGGAAGAAACAAATAGTGAGAAAGAGGAAAGAAGGTCTGCATCTGTGTTTGTGCTCTTTTGACCTCTCTAATATGTGGATCAACTGAACCTCAGTGTCAATAACAGGTGAAAGCTCAGGATTCTCAAGTTTTCTTTTTTCATTTTTGTAAAAGTGTGCCAACTAAAGTCAGGACTCTGGGACATGGTTGAGTTTTTCTGTGGGTGGCATGGATGCAAGCATTGAGGCATCACCTGCTGCCTCCCAGTGGATGTGTTACCAGGAAGGTGAGAGTGGCAGTTGTTTTGGGACATGAGCACAGAGAATAAAGTTAGGAATATGTCCCATGTGAAATTTTATTCAGTAACAAATTAATGATTGGAAATACAGACATAGAGAGAAAATACAGAGAGAAAAATTTTTTTGGTCCACTGGTCCACTACCCAGGTGACCACAGTGGCATAAGCTGAGCCGATCTGAAGCCAGGAGCCAGGAGCTTCATCTAGGTCTCCTGCGCAGGTGCAGGATCCCAAGGCCTAGGGCCATCCTATACTGCTTTCCAGGCCACAAGTAGGGAGCTGTGTGGGAAGTGGTTCAACTGGGTGTCTCTACAGGATCCTAGCAAATATAAGGTGAAGATTTAATTGTTTGGATGTTGTTCCGGGCCTTCAAACGAAATCTCAAAATGTATCTAATGCCCACTCCCCAATTATTTTGTTTTAAACTAAAAAATGTGTCTTACAACTTTTAGGCTATATGTTTAATGAAATGAAGGAAAAAAACTATGCTGTTGAATTAGAAGCTCTGATGATGTACATCTAATTGATACTATATTCATTAAACAATAGCTATACGTTTGACAATTTGTGGCTATGGCATTCTAAAGCAGAAGGGTTCTTATTAATATTAAGCAACTTTTTTGACAGATTATTTACAGTTGTCTATGCACTCTGGTGACCTCTGTCCTTACGCTCTCTCCTGCTAAGAACTGTAGTGCTTTTCTGTTGGGTTTGGAACCTTCAGTTACCTGATCGACCAGGTCCATCAGCAGCTACAGAAGAAACTCCAACATGGAAGCTGCTCAAACAACTTCCTCCAAAATTACCTCCTGATGCAAAATCAACAATAGTAAGAAAACTAGAATAGATTTTGTATCATGACTTTTCATTTAAGGGAATAACAGTAGTGGTGTAATGGAGACTGTCATATCTAGTAACGTGTCATTTAACTTCATGGCATTGTAAATTTCTATTTTTCTTTCCATTGTTGATTTTGTATCATGGCTTTTCATTTAAGCAGATGTACAGTAGCTGTGAAATGGAGAATAACATCCAGATGTTAGGAAACAGTGGGGTATGCATTTCTATTTCCAGACAAAGATGGGCTTATAATGAAACTGTTTAGTATATCTTGACTATAGGATTCTGTGTCTCTGTCATTGTCCATGCCCACAATGATGGAAATATGACTGTGTATGAAGAATTCTATGGTAGTAATGATATAGAGGAAATAGGTGGTGGGGGAAGTGAATTGGGGAGGGGATAAGGGAATATGGAACTGTATTATAAAAAGATAGCAAAAATAATAAAATGTAAAAAAAATTAAAATAAAAAAGCACTAAATCGGAAAAAAACAAAAACAAAAACAAAAAATTGCCTCCTCTGCTGGTTCTATAATGTTACAGCTGTTATCCACGATAACGTACAAAAATAATATAGTTGCCACCAACATCATAGGTACCTCAAAATTTGTTGTATTTGAATCATAATTTCCACATGGTCAAAATTTTCGTGTTCATATCCTGGTTGTCAGCTACTACTCTAAGCATGACTATTCATATCATCTCCACACCTTCTACCCACCGTTACCCCCTCCATAAGTTCCCTTGCTCCCACCACCTCCATTATAGTAGCCTCCTGCTTCTCCCGAATTTCCACTTAGTCAGAATTACCTCAACCAAAGACGATGTTTCCTTTGGATTCAAATTGTCACATCCACCCCTGTGTCCTCTTGGTGATCCAGCAGCTGAATATGTCTCTTGTTCTGAAATGTCCATTTTCACCTCAAAACGATGCTCACTAATCTTCTGATGTTTTTGAACAATAATGTTATCAGTGTTGTTATGATCCTTAGAGGTTAGAAATGCAAACGCACACTTGGCTTCTGCCTCCCATTCTTAATTCTGTATCTCCAGTTTTTGCATAGGTTTGTATGTAGTTTCAGGTGTTATGCTTCTGTGTGTTCCTACATAACACCAACAACAGTCTTCACTGTTAGGTGGGCACCAGGTTGCAGAAGATCCATTCTGGATACAGCTTCCTGGTGCCACCCCATCCCCATGTACTTTGTGTGTTTGAGCAACCATGGCCGCATCCACCTCTGCTACACAGGAGCAAGATCATAATGTCAAAGGCCCTGGAACGTTTCATCTGAAGTTCTCTAAGTACCTCACCCTCGGTGAACATGCCTGATTTCTCAAAATGTTCTCTCAAACCACAAGTGCCATATTCAGGCCTTACTTTCCTCATTTTGTTCTAGTGTGATATGTTTCACAGCTCCTTTCTTAGCCTGTGTCTGGCCTGGATATATTTGCAGTTTGGTAAATTTTCCAGTAATTGGGCACTTCTGAATGCCCTGATTGACCATTTTATTCTGTCCTCTGCTCTTTTTCTTTCCATCTCATTGTTGTGTGCCTCAGTTGTAAAGTTTTGTTGTAGGTTGTCCATTTTTCTTACAATTTTTGGAGGAAAGTCTGTTTCTTTGCACCTGAGTAAATAGAAAATTAGATGTAAATGAAGACAAATGTCTTGGGTCATCCTGCAGATGTTCTTTGGGAGATTTAGAACGGAGACACAACCTCTTTATCTGGAACCACAGACCAGAGTCCCACGCTGAGATCAGTGCTGCCCTTCCCACGACTACAGTCTCTCAGAAGGCAAAAGGGACAATGCAAGTGCAAGGAAACAAGATTTTTAGAATATTTAAATTTTTTCCCTTCAGTTTTTTGTTGTTTTTGTCATCTTTGGCTATGGTCTGGATTTCTGATAAAGCTGATTCAGGCTGGTTTTGCAAAAATGTTTGTGAAGTGGGCTTTTGATCTGTCTACACCACAGTCCTGTTTGTATTATGATGGAAGTTTTCCTGGGTATAGAGTTGAGCCCTTTAGAGAACAGATGATGCTGAAATTCAAGACTCTGGCTGATGATTTTCACATCAGACCTGACAGCTCATTTTCTTGGAGGTTCTTCTGTGTTTTCCCACCAGCCTGCACATGATTCTCCATGGAGAGCCCAGGTCCATGTTGAAAGCTTTTGTTCTCACATGTATACCTACTGTATGACTTAGAGGGCTTTTCCTGGTTCTGTTTGCTGAAAGACCCCAATTAGGGATGTCAACGAGGCTGAATGGGAGCACAGATTCTACGTAGAATATGTGAACGCTGGGCGTGTTGACAAAGCAAGGTTTACTACCATATTGATGGTTTTGAGATGAATGACTCATGAAAAATGTTATGATTTTGTTTTGTATTGAGATGACACTTCAAGTTATAGAAGTAACTTAAGCATTGTAGTGCCCAGATTTTCATGCAGAAAATGCTGGTTTTGATTCTTTGATGTCTTCACCTGTTCACACAATGGTGGTTCTATTCTTGAGGCCACATGCTCAACGTCGACACACGTGTCTGAGCTTGATACCTGGCTGGCAAGACTTTCTTCTCTCTTTACAGAATGTGGAAGTTTCAATCATGCCAGTCTGTATTTTGAGTTTGTAGGAAAGTGTTGATGTATTAAGTGAGAACTGGCATGAGGATGTTGAAATTAACAATGTGTGTAAAGAAATTGTTGTCATCTTTGATCAAGGGACCAGGGCTTTCTCCTTTACCTTTCCTTGTCAGCAGCAAGGGTTAATTTGCACAAATACTCCAATGGTGCTACTCAAGGTAGAGATGCTTTTTCTAGGAAAGTTTTAATTTATGGTTTTGTGTGTTGTGTATATGTCTTTAATAAATGTGCTAAAATTACTTTTATAATTATCTTTTTAAGATCTGCAATATGTTTCCTATTCTTGTTGATTTCCTTCCTGGGAGTCCCAATACAGCCATAAAAAACACTATTTATATAAAAAATTATGCTTTGGAGAAAGTAAAAGAACATCAAGAATCTCTGGACATTAACAACCCTCGGGACTTCATTGATTGTTTCCTGATCAAAATGGAACAGGTAAAATGTCATTTATTTGTCTGCATTTTGTGGATTATTGATAATTTCTGTACTTATTGGAAATATCCAAATGATCAGGTAAGTAATACATGGCCACCATTGTAGTTACCTGCTGTGTTTAAAGATCTTGACTAAGTGTCCTAGATGAATTAAAATGAGCTTTTTACTAGAACATATGGATTTTTTTGTAGATGAGAATTATTTGAGGCACTGAAAATGCATAAGTATTAGACAATATGCAAAACAAGTTAAAATAAAAAAATCCAACATAAATTGGGTCTGCTCATATTCCCATGTTACACAGTATGGGAGAATGTGAATCAAGGTTTCTTCTTTTCCTTTTTCTTTCTCTTTTTTTTGTTAGAATGTGACTGTCAGGTGAGTTATATTGTAAAAAATGAATTTTACATTCCATAGTGCATTTCCTTGGGCTCAGCAATTTCCCCTTCTACTCATTCCATTTCTCCTTCCTAGCACAACTGTTGTTCCCTGTGTTATCATGACAGTATTGTCCCTCAGCATCTGTCACCAGCCCATCATTCTGCTATGTGCGTGTATCCTGTTATTGTGGTTAGACAATGGTAGACAGTCCAGCACCCTGCTGTCAAGATATATTTAACAGTTATACTGGGAGTCCTTCTTTTAGTGAATCAAGGACTTAATCTAGCCAGGTTACTTGTATGTCTGAATGTTTATGTTTTTATAAAAGTTATTTGAATGTCAGAGTTAAATAGAGTAGGAAAGACAGGCAGATAGGAGGCAGAGGGAAAGAGAAGGAGGCTTGGAAGAAGGGAGAGAAATGAGAGATAAGAGAGAAACAGATTCATCCTGAGAGTGTGGCCAGGACAAATCAAGAAGCCAAGAATTCAGTCTTAGTGTCCCCAAGAGGATGGCCAGGTCCAACTAACTGGGTTAGCACCTCCTTCTCCTGGTGTGTATTAGTAGCAAACTGGGATTTGGACTCTAACCCTTGGTAATTGGAAGTGGTATGTGGGTGGTGCCACTTCTGTCACCCTGTCAAAACTCACCTCTCCCCTTCATTTTTCAGGGTTTGTTAGTTGGGAAAGTCCCTTTTAAATTTACTTTTATGTGTTTTTGCTTTTCTTTTTTTTTTTTTTTCGGGGTTTGAGTATATTGTTCTGCTGTGAGTTGTCCACTTGAAAAATTCACTGATAGTCTTACCTGAGTTTCATTGTGTATAGGAAGTCAGTTTTCCCTAGATGATTGTAAAATGATGCTTACATTCAGGCAACCTGTTTGTGTTCAAATTATTTCATAATCCCTGGGCAGTTTGCCTCTTTTTAGCATTCTGTGTTGTTATGATACATTTGCCTCAAGCTTTTAACCATAATCAATTTTCCTTATTAATATCGGGCATATTAGAATGAAATGTTTGCTATCATTCATGGATCACTCCCACCTTCCTTTTTTTTGAAGATTTATTTATTTATATTTGAAAAGCAAAATTATAGAGAGGAGAGTATGCCAAGACCTTACTCACATTCATACAGAAGGAGAGAAATAGAGAGTAAAAGAGGGAGAGAGAGAAAGAGAGAGAGAGAGAGAGAGAAATTTTCCTTGTTCTGACCAGCTCCTAGCTGGCTGCAGCCAGCTGTTGTAGGCTGAAACCAGGAGCCAGGAGCTACATCTCAGTCTCCCATATGCCTGCGGTATTTGAAGGACAAGGATCATCCTCCTCAGCCTTTTGAAGTCTGTAGGGCTGGAGGTTGATCAGATGTAAAGCAGCCAGGATACACTGCAGTGTCCATATGAGATGCCAGCTTTCTGATAAATACTTTAGCCTCAAAGCCACAAGAATGATCCTCTCTATTTTATAAATCAAATTCCCACTATCTGTTCATATTGAGTTTTTTTTTCTTAGTTTAGTTTTGAACTTTTGTATAGGGGTGAGAATATATAGTCATTATGTTTCTATGTTTAACTGTTTTCACTTAACTTGATGTCCTCTAGTTCCAAGCAGCTAGAAGTGTTGTAATGCTGCCCTTTCCATTTTATAAGTTTATTTTTGAGAAGGCAGATTTTTTTTTGTCCCAAATGTGATGCAATGTGCTAGCACAATATCAAATTTTCAATTAATTCCTAGGAAAAGCACAACCCACAGAGTGAGTTCACTATTGACAACCTGTTGGTTACGGTGTTTGATTTGTTTGCTGCGGGAACGGAGACGACCAGCACCACCCTGAGATATGGGCTCCTGCTCCTGCTGAAGTACCCTGAGGTCACAGGTATGAGCACTGGGAGGGAGCATGCAGGGTCAGCAGAGACTCTGGGAAGCCGGGCCTTAGCCTGCACCTTGTTTCTCTCAGAGAAGCTTTGTCTTTGAGACGCCGTGCTGGCAGCAGCACTCTGATGAAGGGAGGACATGAGAGGCATAGCCAAGGTCATAAAGCTCAGGACAGTGACAACAACTGTGGAAAAAGTGCCTGGGCGGAGGGGTTTGGCGAGGCACAGGCTCATGAAGTGCCCTGGGACTAATCTGCTGGTTTTTCCCTAGAGCAGAACATTTTCAATGGCTGGTAGTATTTCAGAGATCTTTCATTAGTCTGTCAACTTAGTTTTCTTATGCAGGGACAGCATACTCCACGAGGGAAAGTTCTTTTTTTTTAAATAGTAAGTTTTTATATAATTGAGGTAGTTTAAGTGTTTTATCAACTTAACAACTTGATTCCAGAAATGAATTCTGCAAAAGGTTTATCTTTTACAAACCATGCTTTTTTCTTTTTAAATAAACATTTACCTTTCTCTAGTAGCTTCTATTTCGGTGAATGGGGATATATATATATATATATAATGGCCCCATATATATAATGGGGCTATATATATATATATATATATACATATATTTGTTCAGAAACCCACTGAAACTATGATAAATCAATCACAGATAAGCATCCTTCCTTGTGAATACTGGATGGTTCATCTCACCCACTTAGAGCAGATGAGGAGATCCCCAGTGCTGTGAGAGATTGAAGCTCCAGCCTAAGTGCTGTCAGAGCAAGGCGAAACCTGTGGAAAGGCCTGCAGGTGCTGCCATCTGCAAGGAAAGTTCTCACCATAAATTAAATTAAATAGATGAATATATCCACCCAGACACAGGGTCCTGGCATTTCAGAAGACTAAGATTCAAGGGAAACCATAAAGAAATTCATCCAGAGGCAAATGGGTATATGAGAGTCTATATAAACACAGAGGACGAGAACTGCATTAAAATCCTCAACTGGCTTTCTTAATTTCTGTTTCTTACCAATGACAGCTCATTTCCTGCTTTCCTTTCCCAATAGACCCTAGAGGTTGTCATGCTGCAGGCACCTAAGATCACGTGAAAGGGAGTCATGGGCCCAGGAACCAGGAGAGCTCATGCTGGAAGTGGGGAGGGCCAGGAAGGGTGTGGGGCACAGACCTGGAAGCACCACTTCACAGTGGGCCAGGGCATGATGTGTGTGTGAGGGGAGACGCCCAGGCCTAAGAGAACTGATTGTTTGCCTGCTGCTGTCAGTTATGAGAATAATTAATTCTAGCAGTTTTGAAACACATATGAGCATTTGCAAGGAGTTCTAAATTAGTATCTGAAACTTGGGTTTGAAATCAACAGTTTAAGCTTGAATGTACATAAGATGAAATGAGACCTTAGTTGTCCATAATCAAGGAGCTGAAGCCACAGTGATGTGTGGGGTGAACACTGATGTAGCAGAAACTGCACTGTAAACACTGGAGAAACGGAGTGAGGGAAGAGCCCGTGTGCATGCGTGTCTGTAGGTGGGTCACCTTGACACTCTGTATGATGAGGGGTGGAGAGAGCTGTCCTCATGTCTCCTGGCTGCAAGTATAGAAATTAGTTAAAACAGATAAAATCAGCAGTTAGAGTCACTATTTACAAATGTGAATATGGTTCTAAGAAATCTAAAATAAACATTTTATGTTCCCAATGTTCCATATTTAGGTATATATTCAGAGGGGATCAACTCAGTATCTTAAAGATATAGTAACTTTTTTGACAGGAAATCCTCCTTTATGCCCCTTGATTTTTTGTGCATTTAAAATATTACACACTCATACTCACACTTAATGGAATATTTGTCTGGCTTAGATAGTATAACTATGCTAAATTTTGTTTTTTAGATCCATTTAAATTTTTTTAAAAAATTTTAATTGTTAGAATGGTATATACACAGAGAAAAGTAGACACAAAATTCTTCCTCTTCTTGTTTCATTCCCCTTAGGGCTACAGTGGCTGGAGCTGAACAGATTAGAGCCAGGAGGCAGAAACTTCTTTTGGGTCTCACATGCAGGTGCAGGGTCGAGAGGCTTTGTGCCATCTTCTACTGATTTTCCAAGCAGCACTCAGGGTGCTTGATGGGAAGTGGGATGGCCATGACATAAACTGATGCCAGCATGGGAACCTGACATTGAAACTGGATGATTAGTTGATTGAGAAATTTCGTCAGACCCGAAAATCATGTCTTTATTAGAAAGCCAGAGAAAGCTAGAGAGAGAGAGAGAGAGAGAGAGAGAGAGAGAGAGAGAGAGAGAGAGAGAGAAAAATGTAGTTAGATACCTTCCACTGTAGCATCCAGGGCCAGACCAGCCTGTAGTCTTGAGGTAGGAGCTTCATCTGGGGTGGGAAGTGGGGACAGGTTGGAATAACCCAGCTTGTACAAAAGTTGGTGTCCATAAAGAATGCTGATGCCACATGGGGTGGCCTCAACCCAGTAAGCAGTAATGCTGTCTCCAATATCTTATATTTAGAGCAAAATGAAAAGACCTAGATCATATTATGCTGTAAGAGGTACAAAATCCACATGAAAGTTGTGGTAAGATCTGGTGTTGTGTGAAACAAGAAATGAGTACAGTGCATGAGGACTTACTATGTCTTTATATACAAATGAAAGAGGGGAGGTTGAAGAATGCAAACCTAAAGTCATGACCAAAGAGAACAATGTCTTGATCAGGACATACTCTATATGGATATTTGAAATCTCAAGATATGTGTAATGGCACAATGTTAATTGGAAATCTACAAAATACTTGGTGATGGAAATGCGAATGAACCTGATTTACAAAATATCTGTATGAAATGACCACAGTGTATTTCATAAATATGCATAATTGCATTATAACCAAAAGCAAAAGAAATGTAATCAAAATTTTGGAAGAATCTCCTGCAGTAGTTTTAATCGGTCATATTTGCTGATCACAAATGAAAGAGTCCATGTTGCAAATAAACTCACACTAAACACACATATCTATTGTTACATCCTTATCTGTTTATACAATTCTATTTACAAATAATAGATTTGCAAAAACTATTCATTAGTGTTCCAGAAAAATATTTACTTCCTTTAAAAAAATATAATGATTACCATGTCCCATGTGTCAATATGGTTTTCATTTTTAAAAAGATTTATTTGAAAGTTAATCTAAATTAGTATTTCATCAAATGAATGAATTATATGTATTACTTTAATCAAAACAAATGTATATGTTACACTGAAAAAGATAATGTATTTGATAGAACACGGTCAAAGTCCCTGCCCAGTTTCTCAGAGGAAGAATTTCCCATGAAGCTCCTGTGTCTGCTACAGTGATGCTTTCTTGAGTCTCTGTGCACTCTGATCTTCAGGGCTGTTGGACACCTGCCTCCTGCTTCACTCAGCCCTCACCTGCTGTGAGACATGGGCTGTGCTGATCCTAGTCCCTGACTCCTCCCTTGTGTCTTCTCAGCTAAAGTGCAGGAGGAGATTGAGCGTGTGATCGGCAGACACCGGAGCCCCTGCATGCAGGACAGGAGCCGCATGCCCTACACGGACGCTGTCATCCACGAGATCCAGAGATACATTGACCTCATCCCTAATAGTGTGCCCCATACAACGACCTGTGACGTTAAATTCAGAAACTACCTCATCCCCAAGGTAAGTTTGTTCTTCCTACACCACAGGTCTGTGATCTTGACATTCCTCAACTCAGAGAAGGGTTTCAGTCTTGCACTAGCACAGCCTGAGAGCAGTGTGAGCCTCGTAAGTGGGGTGTCTTGATAGATTGATTTGTACTGTTTGTGGTTTACAGCTGCATAAGGCCCAGAGTTGTGGCATAGTGAGTGACTGCTCTGTCTGTTAGTCAGCAGCTCACATGTGCAACAGGTGTCATGGCTGTTCCACTTCAGCTCAACTCCCTGCCTGTAGTAGCAGTCAGTAGCAGGGGCCCCAAGTCCTAGGGTCCCAGCACCAACAAGGTGTGTCCCAGCTCTGGCTGCTGTGCCTCTGATGAGTGGACCAGTGGATAGAAGCTTTTCTTTTCTTCCTTGTCACCTTAGCTCCTGCCATGCTTTACTATTCTTATTCTCTTTCTGTATGTTTCAAACATATTCAACTGAATATTATAAACAAAAATCTTCCAAAACACATCTGGATTTATGGAGCCTTAGAATTTTTCTCTACTTTTTAAACATCTAGGTGCTTACAATTCCATGTAAGTGTTAAATGTATCAGCTTATCAACTTCCAAAACTCTTTTAGGATTTCTATCAGAGTGGTATTACATTTTAGATTGATTTGGAATAAATTGAATTTTCCAGGTCATTGATTGTTTTCCAACTCATACTTAGGTCTCTATGTCTCTGTGTTTGGAAGATGACTTAGTTTTCACCACTATTGTTCTATTTTCATTACTCTGATTTGCACAGATAAAATTGTTTCCTTGAGAACAGATATTCATCTTTTGATTGTAGTACTTTTTAAAATAGCTTCATTGTTTCTGGTATATGGAAATACAACTAATTGTTTTTTATGTTATATGATATGTAGCAATCTTCAATTCATTTGTCTTTAATAAAAAGTTGTGTGTCCATGTGTACTTTTTGTGCATTCAGTTCTTCAATCTGTTTTAATATTCTTCTTTTCACTTCTCCTTATTGCAATACTATCCTGGAGTGATTTCCAGGACTGTGTTTAGCAGAAGTCATGAGTGTGGGCATCCTTGTTGCATTGCTGAGTTCTAGGAGACGTGGAGGTTTAACATTCTTTAGTGTGAATGCTTATTATATATTTTGTGGATTTTTATCCTAGCTGGGAATTTCTCCCCTTTGTCTTATTACCTTCTTATGATGAATGAATATACAGTTGAATGAAGTGCATTCTCTGCTTCTATAAATATAGCCATTTATTCAGGACTGTCTTTATCAATAAATACAGGAAGCACTTACATATATTCTTGCTCTGATTCCTATGTAGCTGCACTGGATTTTCTACATTTGCTCAGGATGTTTGTAGTCATATTTACGTGGCTTTGCTGTCACATTCATTTCACAAAGTTTAGATTAAACACGTCTATCTCCTCAAACATTTGGAAATATTCAAATTCTTTCATTTTCTTTAAATTAAGATATACAGTACATTATTTTTTATCTATAGTCAACTGTTGTGCATAGAAGAACAGATGAGAGCAGCAAGTGAGGGCAGACACCCAAGCGAAGGCTTGCTGGAATGCAGAATGGTCTGAGGAGTGATTAGCACCGAGTTCCCAAGTCTCAGTACATCAAACAATATTGGAGGGAAATCATTGTTCTTGAGCTTCAACTCATCCTGGTTATTGCATGTTTTGACTGAAATGACACTATATTCCTTTGCACATGGGTTCTCTCATCTACAGATCACAGAGATTTACTAAATGATTTCTATCCTTTCTTCCCATTGTTCTCTCCTTCAGTGTTTAGTTTCTGTCTGTTTTTATCCAGGGCACACAAATATTACCATCTCTGAGTTCTGTGCTGCATGACCACAAAGAATTCCCCAACCCAGAGGAGTTTGACCCTGGCCACTTCCTGGACAAGAGTGGCAACTTTAAGAGAAGTGATTACTTCATGCCTTTTTCAGCAGGTAAGAATTTATTTCCATGTGAACACAGGGTACGGGATAGATTTTTGTAATTAGCAGGTGGTTTGCCTTGGGGAGGTGGTACATGTGCTCTTTGTGCATGATCAGAAGTCCCACTCTTTGTGTCTGTGTGTCTTTCTTGCTAATAATAGTAACATCCAGTTAGTAGGATTTTGAGATGTGTCTGAGGCATTCTTCCCAACTAAGAAACCTGTAATACAGGATAGTTGAATTCTGCCTGCAATGTCTGAGTTCTTATTAATGGATCCTTATTTTATAAGTGTAGAAAAAGAAATAGGGAGTGATATTCAGTAGTGACCTTGATTCAATGGATCAAGAAGGAAAAGGAGACATAGAGGGAGCACTTGTGCTCACTGCACCATGAAGAGGCAGAGACATGAGACATAGTTTCCTAAAGGAGCATAGGGGAAGAGCTTGTTAGGTCATTGGAACAGCATGGAAATGCAGGGTGGACTAAGGTTGACACAGATGGGTTACACCTAGAGCTGAGTGGAGGATGCTTAGACTCAAAGGAGTGATACTGAACACAACCGAGAACAGATTATGAGGGTCGAGCACAGCCATTTGGACCTCATTCTTGCGTATGGATATGAGAATCATTTATGGTTTTAAATGAGAGCATATCCTGTGTGAACATATGGTTTTACACTGTTCTGATGGAAGGAAAATAGTTGTCTAATATTCTGCAGAGTTTAAAATATTTATTATTAATTTATTGGAAAGCAGATTTACAGAGAGAATGGACTGCAGTCTGTTGGTTTATGCCTCCAGTGTTTGCAATTGCTGGAGCTGAGCTGAGCTGAGCTGAAGCCAGTGGCCAGGAGTTTCTTCTGGGTCCTCCGTGTGGGTGCTGGTTACCAGGGCTTTGTGCTATCCTCTTCCTCTTTCCAGGCCACAAGCAGGTGCTTAGATAGGAAGTCAGGCAACCAGGCTAAGAACCGTTGCCTATATGAGATTACAGTGTGTGCAGGCAAGGATCTGGGATACTCTGCCTGGAGTTCTGCCTGAATGTTGCATGGATATGAGTACATTAATTTAAGCTAGCAGAAAAAAATTTAAAACATTTGTTTTGATCTAAATTTTTGCTATTCATGCATTATATTGGTCTTTAATACTTCATTAAAATGCATAATGTCGAAGGTTTCTGATGGCTTTAACAGTTCTTAAGCTTTAATAAACTTTGCATTCCATTTGATCAAACTTTTTTGATGTTCATGTGTGAATATGCTCTCTTCATCCCATCTTCCTTTAACCCATTGCCCACAATGTGTGTCTCTTAAAATATTGTATAAACTTGGAGTGGTTATATTGTGGTAATACTTAATTAAATATGTCACATGTAATGATAGTCAAGAAGCATTTGTTGAGTGAGTGATGACAGATGTTACATGACACAATCTGTATAGCAATTGTTCATTATTCTTTCCATGTGTATATCCCATCACCCTCCCAGCTAGCCTGTCTTCCACCCACCCACCCTTCAATTCAGTCATTAGTCACTTAGTTACTGAATGCTTCTTTGGATCATTTCCACTCAATGTTTAGATGAAAAACCTTCTGTGCTTGTTATTTTTAGGAAAGCGAGCGTGTGTGGGAGAGGCCCTGGCCCGCATGGAGCTGTTTCTGTTCCTGACCACCATCTTACAGAACTTTACCCTGAAGCCTCATGTTGATGTAAAGGACCTTGACACCACTCCACTTGTTAGCGGGTTAGGCCGTGTGCCCCGTTCTTACAAGCTCAGCTTCATTCCTGTCTAAAGAGGGCAGGTCACAGGGCTGCTGTGCTGTGCTGTGGTCTACAGCTGTCCTCTTGCAGGTGCCCTGGACCCCTTCCCCCAGCAAGGGTTCCTTGTATGCTCTGTACTCTGACATGTCCTCAGTTCTCCAGATCTAATCTCCATCTGGAAGCTTTCTGGATCCTCCATTAATGTCTGCTTGCTATTCTTGGCAGCTTGTAATTTCTGAATTGATGACCACTTGTTTCAGTCCCTGCCTGATGTTGATTTATTAATACATGAGCACTGTGGAATTGTGGGAGATGATTGGCATTGGACAATTCAAACATAGCTTTCTTAAGTGTCCGGAATAAAACCATTATTAACTGTTAAATCAGTTTTTGAGATTTTTTTCTTTTGCAAATAATGTGAGTAAGAAATGCAAGAAAATCAAGTCCCAGGAGACCACGGTGGTCCTTATAATGACAGCACAAAGATGCTGAAAGTGAACTAGAAAATGAGCGCCTTGTCATCTATACGTATTAGATATTCGTGTGAAAGAGAGAAACTGTCAACGTATAGGGGAATAATATTGAACAATATTGAAAATAAAATTAAAAAAAATAAAAGCTGTATGTATGCATTCACCTTAGGAAATTCTAGAAAAAGGAATAAATTATGTTCAGTTGAATAAATATATAGGTAAACATGTATATACATGTATTCTCATAGATGAACTGTATCCTGGAGACCAGTAAGTTGGGAAGTGAAGATACATTGTGTATGCATTTCTACTCCTGAAGAAAAGGGGACTCCCAGTGAAAGTGTTACATATACGGGAAAGAATGGTGGTGCCGTCTTAAGGGAAATCCCTGTGCCCATGGGACTGTATCACGAGAAAATATGATAGTTGTGCAGAACTGCATTTTTGACTTCTCATGTTATCCAGCTATTACACTCCCTAGTTTTTATCCAGATAAATTGAAATCTACGAAAATCCCTCACAAGGTTGCTTGTAACAGGTTTCTATATCATTTCCAGAAATTGAAAGCCATCAAGATATTCTGTAATAACTGAATGACTAAACAAATTACAGTAATCCAAATAATTGAATTGTTTGAGTTTGAATTTGAAAATGCTTGAATTTGCCTGGCTTTATTGACATTATTGTCCATGTATCTGTGGTGTTAGGTGTAGTACATGTTGGATTATTTCTAGTAAAATCGTTTTTTTTTTCTTTTTACTAAAAGATTAACTAATTTATTTGAGAATCAAAGTTAGAGCAAGCAAGCGAGAGAGAGAGCGCTGTTCATGGAAGTTTCCTACATGGGTGCCGGAAGCCAAGCACTTGGACCATCCTCTGATGCTTTCTCAGGCACATTAGCTGTGTTGGAAGTGGAGTAGGCAAGACATAATCCAGTACCCATATGGTATCCTGGTGCTACAGGTGGTGGATAACTTGCAATGCAAGAGCACTGGCTCTTCTAATTCATTTCTTGTCCTTTATGATTTATATGACTTCTTACAGTAGTAGTTATTTACTTGATGGCTAATAACTCATATGTATTTAAACTGATTCCACTGATACTGGTATAAATAATAATAGTATTGTATTTGGGAATCATAAAATGATTGAGGAATTAAATGTATCATAAGTATAAATATGAAAGAATGAATATGAGAGAACAGCTAGGAATAAGTTTTGTAAGTAGGCACAATATCTATGATGTAGTATAGTGGATTTGGAAAGTGCATTTGGATTTATTGTATTTTATTGTTTGCTTGACATAACTTTTGTTTTTATGCTTAAAGCTACATTTTAATGAATACATATGTTTGCACATAATTTTAGGGGGTAGTATGATTTTTGTTGTTTGTTTTTAAAAATATTTTAAGAATAGATTTAATGAATTTCATAGATATGAATTCAACTATGTTATAGTTTCCTTCCTCCCTTCTTTCTCCCTCCTCTTTCCTTAGGTTCCTTCTGATTTTGTGCAGCAGCATACTTTCAGATCCAGGGCCTCAGTGTTCCTTTGATTAGAAAGTGTTTCACAGGGGTTCAGACAAGGGTTAAAGACAAGAAGCCAACCAGAAGATGACAGTTCAGCTCCATGTTCATTGAGGTTTTTTTGCTTGCTTATTGTAAATGCATATTAAAAGCTTTGTGGAGGCTATTACAAAAGCAAATACAAGCAGTATGTTCAGGAAGAAGAGAAAATGGAATGGCAAGACATACTCAGTTAAAACTACTGAGGGCAGAAGCAGCATTACAAGCAAAAATGGAAGCAAATAACAAGAGCAATTAGTAGGAAAAAGCAACAAAATTAGAAATTAATCCAGCTATATTAACATCCATTCAAACATCACTGAATGCACCAATTAAAAGGAGTCTTTCAGAGTGGAAAAAAATTTAATTTTGGGTATAAGAGATCCACTTGAAATATAGATACATAAGTGAAAAGTAATAGAGGCTAACGCTTGTCAAAAAGTAAAAGCTGTAATTTCTGTATTAGTTTGTTTTGTACAAAGCAATCCACAAAATAAGAATTCTTAAAGAAAAACAGGATATAATGGTAAGGCGTTCAATTCCCATGAAGTCACAACAATCCTTAAGGTGTGTGTGCCTCTGACATGTGCTCTGACCTGTAAGGAACACTTGATCCAGACAAGCAGAATACACTTTCTTCTTCAGGTAAGTGGCACATTCAGCAATATGGACCGTGTTCTAGGCTGGAGTACATGACTTAATAAATATGAAAGGATATGGATGTTACAATGCGTTATCTAGGGTCATTATGGAATTACACTTTAAGAAGTGGAGGAAGGATAGCTGGAATATTCCCAAGTCCTGGAGATAAAATGAAATAACATGCTTCAATGTAATATAAGAATCAAAGAATAAATGTGAAGAGACTTAAGATTTTAAATGAAATAAAGTAAAATAAAGCTTTTCAAAATTTGTGAGATGCAATAAAAGCCATTCTTTGTAGAATTATGGCATTCAATTCATATGTTAGAAAAAGAAATCTAGGCAGTAATTTATACATTTGTCTTAGGAAATTGGAGAAAAAAGAACAAATTGTATTGTAAAGAACAGAAGCCTGACCTCTGTATATACTGGTAAGTACAGGCAACCCGGTGTGGTTATTTGGAATCGCCCAGATCAGGCTGCAGCTCCCATTGGCTTGTGTCAGGGTGGATTGTGAGGTGGGAAGAATCAAAGTGGACTGAAACATCCATTGGTTTGTGTGGAAGACAGGGCTGGAAACAGAACTGACCCAGCAATTGCAACGACCAGCACATGCATAAGCTGACTGGGACAACAGACTGTGTTGGACCCTCTACTGGCATTCACACACAAGAAGCAGGTCTGGGATCACCTCAAACGCAGTTTCCTTCTTTGTTTCTTTGTTTCTTTCTTTGTTTCATTTTACCACAGTATGATTTAATGAGAATGTTTTGCATTGTGTACTGTCTAGCTAAAAATACATAAGCCCTTTTGTAAACTAACATTGTGATCAAATCAATTCTAGCAGCACTGGAAATTTAAACAAAAACATTTTCCTAATGCATTTCTTTGTAATTTTACTTCTTTTTATCATTTTATGATACAGTTCCATAGGCCCTGGGATTTTTCTTATCCCCTTCCCAATCCTTTCACCCTCACTGAGTCCCCTTTATCTTTATTATAGTATAGTTCTTCATAAACAGTCATATGTCCATCATTGTGGGCATGGACAATGCTGAGAGTTCATCATCCTATTGTCAAGACAGTAAACAGTTTCATTGGGAGCCCACCTTTGTCTGGAAGTAGAGATGAACACTGCATTGTATCCTCACATCTGGATATGATAGTCTCCATTACACAGTTACTTTACATCCCATTAATGAAAAGCCACAAAACAAAATCAACAACAGGAAAAAAAGAAGAAAGTAACCATGCCATAAAGCTAAATAACATGCTATTGAATGAATAATGTGTCGAGAAGAAATGAAAATCAAGAACCTTTGTGAAGAAAATGATGCTACTGTATGATCTATGAGTCATTGAAGAATTTAATCAGAAGAAAGTGTTTTGAAGAGATGAAACTAACAAAAAAAATCAAAATCCATGAGATATAGTTTCTGCTGATCTTTGTTGGTGAAATGTGTCTCCTATAGGCAACAAATAGATGAGCTTTGTTTTTTAAAATCCAGTCCACTAATCTATGATGCTTGATTATTTTAAGCCATTTACATTCAGGGTTAATACAAATAGGTGGTAATTTGGTCCTGTCATTTTAGCAGTGGGTTGTTCATTGATTTAGTCTTCTGTTGTTATTTTACTGGGATGTTTTTCACATTTGCCTTTGGTTTTGGTGGGTGTTATTCCTCTTCTCTGTCAAGAGAACATCTTGAAGTATCATTTGTAGAGCAGGTTTGGAAGAGGCAAATTCTTTTAACTTTTCTTTACTGTGGAAGAATTTTATTTCATTTTCAAAGACAAAGGAAAACTTTGCTGAATATCCTGGGCTGACAATTTTTTTCTTTTAGAATCTGGAACATCATGTCACTCCATTCTCTTCTTGTCGGTAGAGTTCCCTGTGAGAGATCTCCTGTGAGTTTAGTTGCATTCCTTTATATGTCAACTGATTTTTTTTTCACATGCACATCTAAGGATCTTTTCCTTATGTTCAATTGAAGAGAGCATGACAAACATATATCGTGATGACAATGGATTTGGTCAACTTTTGTTGAGAGTTCTGCACTCCTCCTGAGTGCTGTTTCCCAATTCTTTCTCTGGATTAGGGAAGTTTTCCCTTATTATTTCATTAAATACATTTGTAAACCCAGCTTTTGAATTCTGTATGCCCCATTTCTTGATGTCTTCCTTAGTTAACTCTGAGATTGACAAAGGGTTTTGTTCCTTTGCAGGAGAGTATTCAGTAATGTTCATTGTGCCTTTGTCTCTTCTTTTGCTCTTGGTCATTGTGCTTCTGCTTAGCAGAGTCTTCTCCTTGGGGCAGGTGTTGAAGCTGTGTCACCCACAGGTCTACAGTTTGATTTTACTTATTGTAGTTGGTACTTGGCTCTTTGTTGGCAGTCAGTTGTGTCACTCCCTCTGGCGAGTTCCATGTCTGGGTTCTTACGTTAGATTTCCACAGTGGTTTCTGTAGCCCCAGCTCCTGGCTCACCAGAATCCACCTCTGTGATACCGTGCTGAGGCTACACCATTGTCTGTACAACCTTTCTCCCACTTTCAGTTAGAACAGGTCCCAGGAATAGGGAGACACCAGGAGTCCTGTACAGCTAGGTTGTCTGTGGTGCTGATCTTACCATAACCTGTTGGTCGTTAGGTCTGAAGGCCATAGGGTCTAATTTTGACTCACACGATTCCATAGTC